GTTTATAAATGTGTATACATGTATTGCCAAAAGAAGTTTCGACTTATCTTCAGAGAAAATAAAACATGTATTAGCTGACGGGTTAATTTTTGTCTGTGGGTCATAGATGAGAAATTAAACACATCGAAAAGTTGCTTTGACATTTCAATTTTCATGAGCATAGCATATATTTTAAATAGAAAACAGCAATGTATACTTAACCACATGTGTGTGTGAACTTAGAATTTATTGACCACAAATACAATTTGTTGTTTTGTGGTGTACATATATAGATTTCCATGTCTAAGTATTATAGAAATTTTACACATTTATTCACGTTCATTGTAAAATAAATTTATGCATATTAGATTGCAATAAGTTAATAAATCTGTACAGAGGTACATGTTACATGTACATGTAGATTACTGCATTGCACAGAACCCTTTACTGTTTACAAACTTCAAAATTCATGTAAATATAAGGAGATGTATTTTAACAATATGGCAATTAATCATCAAAATGAAATGGTTGTTTTCACTGATGATTTTGTAACAAACAGATCTTATTCTATTTCTTTTAAAGGGTGGGTGCAATTAAATTGAAAACCAATTTATAGCCAAAGAACTTAGTACATACTTACATGCCAGTATGCTTTAGTTTGTTCAGGGTCAAAAGAAAGCACTCTTTTTGACTCTTTCACTTTTTCATGAAATATGAGGGCATTGTTTGTGCTGTTTCATGAAGGGAACCCAGAGCTAAAAAGTAAAGAAAAAACATAAAACTTCAAGGTGCAGCTTGAGTCTACTAAGTTGTTTTGACACCCTACAACTTGTACCGAATCATTACAAAGCAGGTACCAATCTAATCAGGTCAATAGATACAGGAAAAGTCATAAGAAAATAAAAATCTTTAACTTTTTATCACCAGTGTGTGTAACTACTGCTGCTGTTACCCACATGACATCATAAATTTGCTCGTGAATATGCAAATTTTCATTAGCATGAAAACAGGAAATTTGCAATTACAGCTCAAAGCTTTTTACGAATTTGCATTCAACAGGTAGTAGCATAAAAAGTACACTCTTTTGCATGGTTTTTGAAGTAAGCCAATGACATTATGAGCTTTAGATGCAGCAGTACACTTACCCCTTAGTTAAGTGGAACCACCGACTCACGACAGTTTGTGAGCGCACAACATACTTGCGCAATTTTATCAATTTTAGGCACCTTTTGTTTCTCGGATGTAACTAAGGATTCCCATGGAACTTTTTCAGACAAAATGCTGTAAGTCTCTCTCATTTCTCCGATGATACGTTCAACATGTATGCGAAGGTGAGCAATTTTCCGTGATCTCTCAACATCCAGTGCTGAAAGTCGGGGCTTCCCTTCTGAGAAGGCTGGCGTCAGAAGCTGTGCACAGTAGAATCCGACCTCATCAGAAATGTTAAATCCTCGATCAGCTAAAACGTAGTCACCGGGTTACAGTTTGTACAAGAAGTCAGACTGAAGTGTGATGGCTTTGTCCGATCCCCTTCCTCCCCATGCTGAAGACAGATATGATATGATGCCTGAAGGGGTGATACCTATCAAGAATTTGACTGTATTGTGGTGCTTGTAATTCAACCATGTCTGTGCTCTTGCCTCTACACTTGATGGACAGACACAGAATACTTCAAAGCAATCAATGATCTCGGCAACATGTTTGCCAAAGGCTTGTCTGAAATCCATTGGCATTGTTTTCCACAAGGTCTCTCTGGAAGGCCACATTATCAGTGGTGACAGCTGGGTAGATAGAATGTCCAACATCAGAGAAAATATGCGGCACACTGTAGCTTCGCTCACTTGAAAACAAAAAGCAAGATCTTTGTGCTTCAGGTTTAACTTAAGTTTCATCAGAACCACTACAAGTTGCTGAAATGGTGTCAAAATTTTCCCCACAGGAATTTTAAGTACTACAAAATTGAAGACTGCCATCAAAACTGTAAGTGTCGGAAGTCCAGTGTAAAACTTCACTTCATCATCATCTTTGAAGTACTGTTCATTGATTATTGCTCTTGCCGCTGTCTTTATGGCCCGCTGAAGCTCTGAGCTGTTTCCTGCTGCCCGACCTTCCAAAACACTGATGTCTATGGCATAAAGATCAGTCTCAAATGAGGGTTTCTCTGTCTGCACACCTTTGTTGCTTGGTCTTGGGGTTCCTTGGTCTGCGGTTGATGTTGTTCATGTGCCTTGGCCGCCAACTGCCTTCGTTTTGATCGCTCATACCGTTGCTGACTGATGAGAAGGGTGCTTTGACATGGCTTCTTGTGGCCCAAGTTAATGGTTGGCGCCCAGTCTATGCTCAATTCATCATACAAAGCTGCTGGTCGACCTGCAATTAACATAAGTATGCAAAGTGATAAGTACACGTTCACATGCTGCTATATCTTATTCCCAATCTTCTGAAGGTTATAATTCCAAACAAGCTATTTGATCTAATAACAAGTCTCCAACTCCCATTTTAGTTGGGAATTATCAATTATGTGACTGATTAAAGGCCTAGCTGATGCAAGACAAGACTGCAAGAAGTATTTATTTGATTGAATTTCAAAGCAAAATTCATATGAATGCAGAGTAATGTTCGCTTTATGTTTTTTAGTGGCTGATAAATTTACAACAGAAAAGAAAAGAAAACCAAAGGGGTCCAAAATTGTTTGTATTAAAGTACTAAGTACTACAGCTTTTGTTTTGGAAACAGTTTCTGTAATCTTTCACCATTTTCTGACACTGACATCCATTCTTTCATTAAAATGGGGACAAATTATTTGCTAGTATAAAAGGCTTAGAACAAAGCAGGCCTGTAGTAAGGCTTTGATCTGGATAAACTCCCTCAATGACATGAATAGGAACTGAATATTTGGGGGAGAAATTTTTATTCTTTAAAGAAAAAAAAATGAGAAAAAAATGAGTGAAAATTTATTTTAAAAATTACAACGATTTTTCAAAATGGATTTTCAGGAGGGCATTTATTCTTGCCTGGGGGTCAATTGAAGTTCGAATCACACACAAAAATAAAATAAAATATAATAATAAATAAATAAAATAAATATATAAGTAAATAAATAAACAAAAAGGTCCATAGAAATTCTTTATCCTGGGTGTGCTGCATGGTGCCAGTATTTTAACCATGACCCCAAAAAATTCCCTCAAAAATTTGCAAATTTTGAAAAGGTAACATTTGGCTTGGGTGTTTTTTAAAAGTAGATGTCATGCACAACCAGTAAGTGTCAGACTTTGGACAATGGTGCTGGTTATAGCAAAAAAAACAACATGTTTTTGTGCACAGCAAATACGGCGATGATTTTCCTTATTTTGCTGTCTGCTTTTTTCGGAATAGGCCTGAAGTCGAGTTTGAAAGCAGCTACATGCTTTAATGGTAAAACCTTTCCCTTATGTGTATTTTCATCTCAAGAAAGTCTGCTTACATGTATGATGAACCATAGGATAAGCTGACCTGAAACAAAGTGGTCCGAGCAAACTTTGTAGTGGGTTTTCGTCGCATCCAAGTCTGCACGTGAAATGTTTGCAAGCCACTGCACTCTCCGTCTTGTTGACAATTCCTTAGTTTTTTCCCCATGGTGGTGGATAATTTTGGGGATGGAATAGTATGATTTGTCCTTTTCTCGTTCACTTCGATTGCTGCAAGCGTAAATGCAGCACACATGGACCATTTTCGACGGAAAATGCAGCATGCAACACACACGGCATCAACACAGCTGCTTGTCCCATGTCATGGAGGACAGATCGTTGCTAAGTCACGACTTGACCTTTTGACCACGCATGCAAGCGCTCTATTGCAGTCATCCGGGCATTTTCACTGGTTTCCACACGATTAAGAGCATAGAAAGTCACGCTGCAGGAAAAGGCGAGGTATGCGCGCACTCTTGTCAACAATTAAGTGGCAGCTTCAAATAATTTGACGAAAAAGATGAAATGAAGACAGTGTCTTGAATTGTATTTCTTGCAGATCAAGTCAGTCTGATATAATAATAATAATACTATTGGATGGCTTTTTTCGGTGGATACAAGAATATATTGCACGAGCTACCGGTATGGTAATGTAATTTTGCACCCGTCTTCGACTCATGCAATTGTCATACATGTAGCTCGTGCAATATATTCTTGTATCCACCTCAAAACCATCCAATATTATAATATTATCCAATTTTCGATACTTTTGATATTATTCCTCAATATCGATTTCAATATTTCGATATGATTAAAAAAATGATATCGGTGATATTGATATGAAAACATAATTGAGTAATATCGATATATCGATGGTGCTTACCGGTATGTACCTAGACTGGGATGATGTACATGAAAATTGATGTGACGTCATCATAAGGTCATCACGTGACATGTGACGTCATCATTCAAAGCCCTATGAGAATGTAATCACATATATTATATGCCTTTATAAACAGAACTACACATCCTTCCTGGATGGAACTTATACTTAACTTTACACATCACATGTCATAAAATAAGTTGCTGAAACAGCCCTGTGTTACCGTACTTTCTACTGATATGCAGATACAGCATTGATTTACAAGAACTTTGTCCGTACTATTATGCTATAAGGAGAGCCATTGGACACAATGACCATGAAGTGTGTTGTTTACTTCACTGCTCGATTTATAGACAAAACGTGGATATTGAGGGATCAAAGAAAAAGAAAAGAAAACAAAAAGGATGATCAATATGTGTATAATTACATTTGTAAGAGACTGAATCAGTGAAAAGGAACATTTTATATCCAAGTGGCACGATGGCCAAAGGTAATTTTGGGCCATGAAAAGCCCTTCTCTTTCAATCCCTACACTTTTGAATGGACCCCGAAAATTTCATCTGCACTTTGGGGGGGAATGAAATTGACATTTTAAAACAATTTTGTTAAAATAAGCATGCATAACCCCCTCCCCCTGCATAATGCTGATAATTATGAATGACCCCGATACTATTTGTTCCCTTATTGCACAGCTATCCCGATCTTAAGTCGCTTCATGTGCTGAATGCTCATCCTGCCAACTGTATATGTATTGAATTCGACCCAACTGGAAAGTACTTTGCCACAGGGAGTGCTGATGCCCTTGCCAGCTTATGGGACGTCAACGAACTTATTTGCATCAGGACTTTTTCAAGGTATTGTGTAATTGTTAGAGTACTGGTAGTCTGTATACATTGATAAAGATTGAATTCAATTCTGTGCTTTTTGTTTGAAGTACAGTATTTTAATTCCCTTTCATGTTCATGGTTACAGGCTTTACCTGTAATACATTTATTTCGTTCACAACACAGCTTTGATTTGGGAAATTCCACGCAGAGTGGATGTGGCTGAAAAGTAGACATTTTATGAAATCTTCATAACTACAAGTTATTGTTATTGAAATCTCATGTTAACACCATTGTTTCCAAAGCTAACTGTCTTTTAGGCTTTATCCGGACAGTAGCACGTGGAGCTTCTCCATCTGCCATCTTTTGTCTGTACCGGTCCCTTGTCCTTCCTATTTTGGAATATGGCTTACCTGCTTGAGACCCCTATACCTCCGCTGATCAACAAAAACTTAAACATGTTCAACGCACAGCTACCCGTATTGTTCTAGGTCAGCGGAGGGGGGAAATGTCATATGAGGAAAGACTCCATAAGCTCAATTGGTCCATGCTCACTTCCAGAAGAAATTTCATTCTATGCTCATGTTTGTATTCAAGGTATAATATGGTCTACTACACTGTGAATCTTTCCAAGAGAACCTTCATATTAATCCACGTCATCCAAACATCCTCACATTTTGTCACCTTCCTTCTGGTCCGGATGCTTTATTCCATTCACCGACCCGTCACTTTCCTAGACTCTGGAATCACTTACCTACTTCAATCCAGGATTCCGCAGTGCTTAATTGACTAAACTCATTTCTAGCCAGTCTCAAGACACACTTCCATGACCTGCTCACATTATAGCGCAATTAACTTAATCTTAAGTTTAATCTTCGGGCTTCCCTTTATTGTGTTATTTCCCTGCCATTTGTAATTTTGTTCTTGTGCATTTGTTTGCCTTTTTTGTCCCGTTCGTTTGTCAGTATGTGCGAGTCTGCATGCTTCCGAGCAACAGTGATTAGATTCGCTTTTGCGGTCCCTGAGCCACATAATTGAGTGGTCGGGCACAACCCGACCACTCTTTGGATCTGTTGCGATTAATCTTTCTTTCTTTCTTTCTTTTTTTTTTTTCCCGGACAATACTTCTCCGCGGGTTTTCTCTTAAACGGTACATTTCCCCGAAACAACTACCGCAATGATTTATTTTCATTGAAAGTGAAAGAACTATTTATTGTATTTCCCTTTACGATGTAGATTTGTGTTGGAGACACGAGTAAGTTCATGGTATGAACTTGTAACTTTCAATATATATCGACCCTCATCCGAAGTGGTGCATATTACTCTGACGTCATGATTACGTCATCAGGTGTCAAATTACAAGCGATTGTCGTTGAAAAAATGACGATATTATTTCACCTATAACTCTTGAACTAAACATTCAATGATGTTTGTATTCTGTTATCAGATAGACCATTAATTGCTTAACATTTTTTGTCGTGTACGTAAACTCGCTTGACCTTTACTTCCGGGTCTACCGGAAGGTCAACAATAGGTGAATTCAAAATGAAGACGTTAACCTGAAATAAAAACAAAGCAAAATTTCTTCCGAACTGTTTACGGTACAATCACAAAACCTTGTGTGAACTTGAACCATGTTACGAAGATGTTATGAATTTTGTTACGGCATCATGACATCATCAGGTATCAAATTACAAGCGATTTAAGGGCAAATTTTGACAAAATAGTTTGCGTTATATCTTTTGAACTAAATAAAGTATCATGTTCGTTTTTTCGTGAGGTTGTAGACTATGCAGTGAGAAACATTTCTTGTGCCCGGACACAAAACCGCTTGACCTTTACTTCCGGTGTTACCGGAAGTACCATAAAAACTTAATATAACTCAAAAGCGGAAGCATTTTACTACAGACATATTATGAAAGTGTTTAGTGAGGAATGCAAGTCCCAAAAAACAGTGTGATGACGTCATCATCCTAAAAAGGCGCCCCCTAGCGGCACATAAAATAGTGTTTGTTTTCTTTAATCTATAAGACCATCGGTTTTAATTTTACCAAATCGCTCCTTGATATTCTTTGATTAACCACCGATGACTTGGCAAGGTTTCAAATTCATGACGTCATCAGACCGGAAGTTACGTCTATGAGAATTTGACAACGATCATATTTTTAATTGAATTCTATCTTTTGATCCATGTCGTATATCTTCGTAGCCCAAATAACGATATCCATACCAATGTTAACCTTTTGCTTCCAAATTTACTAGTGACGTCATGAAACCGGAAGTTAGATGTTATAAATGCATACAATTATTTTTTCCATATTTCCATACGTTATTTAACTTCACAATAAACATTTATCCACTCGGAACTAAATCAGTATTCACTTCCCGATTTTTATGCCCCGCGGCGAAGCCGAAGGGGCATACTGTTTCCGCCTTGTCCTTCCGTGGGTGGGTGGGTGTGTGTGTTAGTGTTCCTGCATGGCATTACGCCTGAGGACAGACAACAAAAGGAGCACAAAGGGGCCATTGATCCTCGAAGGAAGGTGCCTATTGTCCTCGAACGCAGGTTTGTGTGCTTAGTCTATGGGAGAGTGTTATATTACAGGGACAAAGGAAAACACAAAGCCAATCCTCGGAAGCATAGCAAACAAGTCAGGTGTGTTTACAAACACAAATGCCCCGCAACCGTGACTGTTTCCATGACATAACACCACTCTAACATCAACTTACATGTACCTTGGTCAAATGGAACGTTCATTGACAGCATTAGTGTCTTCTGTAGGTTTTATATGAATTAATCCCTAATCCCTATGATCTCAGAATAAATACAAGATTTCTATTGTTTTAGCCACTGTGACCTTGACCCTTGACCTTTTGACCCCCAATGCGATAGGCTTCTTAGGATTGCCAAGGACAATCCACAAACCAAATTTGAAATTCATATGTAAAGTATTTCTCAAGTTATCGCGCTGACAAAATTTCTATTGTTTCAGCCACTGTGACCTTGACCCTTGACCTTTTGGCCCCAAATGCAAAAGGCTTCTAAGAATTGCCAAGGACAATCCACAAACCAAATTTGAAGTTCATATGTAAGGTATTTCTCAAGTTATCGCGCTGACAAAATTTCTATTGTTTCAGCCACTGTGACCTTGACCCTTGACCTTTCGGCCCCAAATGCAAAAGGCTTCTTAGGATTACCAAGGACAATCCACAAACCAAATTTGAAGTTCATATGTAAAGTATTTCTCAAGTTATCGCGCTGACAAAATTTCTATTGTTTCAGCCACTGTGACCTTGACCCTTGACCTTTTGGCCCCAAATGCAAAAGGCTTCTTAGAATTGCCAAGGACAATCCACAAACCAAATTTGAAGTTCATATGTAAAGTATTTCTCAAGTTATCGCGCTGACAAAATTTCTATTGTTTCAGCCACTGTGACCTTGACCCTTGACCTTTCGGCCCCAAATGCAAAAGGCTTCTTAGGATTACCAAGGACAATCCACAAACCAAATTTGAAGTTCATATGTAAAGTATTTCTCAAGTTATCTCGCTGACAAGATTTGTCCGGACACACACACCCACACACCCAGACTTGTTTCACATAAGTAGTGTGGACTTTCCTTTCTTTTCGTGTAGTTAAGGAACACCAGTGGAAAAACTCATTTTTCTCAAACTGTGAAAACTCTTTCAACCCAATTTTTATGCCCCGCGGCGAAGCCGAAGGGGCATACTGTTTCCGCCTTGTCCTTCCGTGGGTGGGTGGGTGGGTGGGTGTGTGGGTGTGTGTGTCCGGACAAATCTTGTCAGCGCGATAACTTGAGAAATACACAAGTTCAACGTGATGAAAGGCTGCATGCACCGCGTGCGAGCGTGTTGTGTTCTAAGCACACGAACATGTAGCATTCAGCCTGGAAATCAAGTCTATCATTTCAGTTACCGGTGGTTCCCTATCACAGTGATATATGTGAACACAAAAAAGGTCGGGTACCAACCATGTTTTCATCGCCCGCATCGCGTGCATCGCGTAGTACAGTGCAAAGATCATATACACTGACAGTGTTGTGGAATCTTGCATGTTTCCGATGTTTCGTGCTGAATATTACTTTGGAAATTCGGGTAGGCAGAAAAATAATAGGAACATGGACAAATCAGCTAGTTAAAGGCTATAGAAGCAAAAAACTAAATGGAACTTGGCTTGGCTACAAGAGAAAGAAACAGGGACTAAATGTTTTTTTTACAAAAAAAAAAAATTCGGGTTAGTTCAAGCAGCTGTTCCGTTGTTTTTTTTCAAGCAGACACAGTTCCGTTTTTTTCAAGCAGACCCTGTGGCATCTCTGTCCAGTTTCACAGGATGCAGACACGCATTTGAAACCAAATACGTAGTGGAGTAACATGTATTGCAGGCAAAAATCCACAGAACACGACCCTCACAAGGTCACACCGTTATTTCTTTACATGTAATTTCAAGAGCTTATGTTTTTCATTGAATTTCCCGGGAGCCCGTTCCAACTTGGAACTGGTTTATTTTAGAGAAGGGTCATTCTGTTTCAATTCAACACGAGTTTGGACCCGACCCTCACAGATTGAAACAATATTTGGTGTTATGATTTGCCTATATGAGAAACCCACGAACTAAAATTGTTGTAGTTTGGCTCATTAGTTTTTGAGATACGGGGTCAACAAAGTTTTCAACGAATATCCCAGCAGGGGATATGGACATACACTGGGGGACACTGCCCCCACCAATGACACACCCCCCTACTTACTCCCCCATCTAGAGCTAGTATGATGCTAGCTCTATATAAACAGCCATGTGGTTGCGAAGGCCGATTTCTAAAGGTTACGTAATACTTTATTTTGAATAAAACAGCATGCACACAGACATGTTCACGTTGGCAGGCGAAATCTTTGAAAAATAATGTTTGAATAATAATCTTCATGCAACTTCCAGGTTTTTTTTTCCTTTATAATGATCCAACTGGTATGTGCTTAAAATTGTTTTTGATAAGTTTAGTACTTTGGAAATTGGAAAAATAGGTCTGGCTACGTGCATTTTTAATAGTTGTAACATTGGTGTTTGCAATGTCTGTCAATCTTTTCAAGCCTCATGAATATTAATAAGGTTCCTATCCATTATGGTGTGCAGTAAAAGTTTGCAGAATAGCCTCCTTTATGAGTTGTTATTTAATAAATGTCACCCTTTTTGCCAAATTCCATTGGTCAGTACCGAGACGCAAGTGAAGTCACGCCGAGTGACGCTAATGAATATACTAATACATGTACATGTATTCGCTTCATCATTGTTGCCCCCAAATCAGCCAACCTAAAAACCATGCGCGTAAGTTAATTTGGTCGGAAAAAAAATCCTCGTTAAAACTTACCGTGGAGATAGTTCAAGGTATAACACAAGCATTCGCAACAACACATTAAGCTGAAATTCGGAAAATACAATTAGATGATATAAGTGGTCAACATCTCGTGAAAAAAACAACTTGAGGGAATTCTTAGAAATTGACATAGAAACATAGATTTGGGGACGTTTTTGAACGATTTCTTCCCGACTTTAAGGTCAGCTTTACCAGGAACCAGAATTGAAATTTCAACATCGAATAACAGTGATTTTTTCACTAACATGAAGTGTTAAAATTTCTTTTTCCATTATAATTTAACATTTCAATCATACTGAGCATATTTTCTGAAAAACACAATGTTCAAAAGCCCATGTTTTTTTGGAGTGCATGAATTTCACTGCTCTGTTATAGCGTCCAAGTACCAGTAAGTAATCAGATTAACTTTGTTTAACGACGCTTAGGCCTAAGTTGCAAGTACATGGCTAGACAACACATTAGGGCTGTCGAGGGCAAACTTGTACATGTACATGTATGTACAGGTCAACATGCACTTGCTGTATTTACAAGTACTATGCAAATTAATTTTTTTTCCCGGACATGCTATCTTTAACCCTAACCGCCCTGAATCCTCCAAAATCCTTTTTGCAAATTGGAGGAATTTGCAGGATTGAGGTTACATGGCAAAAGTGCGTTGCTGATTTCGGATAACGCACTGTGTCAAGGTCTTGGGCCAAACCTTGTGTTGTTTATGCTCAGCCGTGCATAAATTTAGTCCTTGATTATATTATACTTGACATCCTCCGCATTGCTCCAGGATGTCACTGCCTCTGCCTCAGCCTATTGACAGACATAGCCGGAGGATTTTGCAGGATTCAGGCAGTGGTCATCCCTCCATGGACCATATTCAAGAAATAATGGAGGAATTTGCAGGATTGAGGCTATATGCTATTTTTCCATGAGGCCAATTGGAGGATTTTGCAGGATTGAGGCTACATCCTAGCAAAACGGCCTAGGGAGTTAGGGTTAAAATAATCACGACATGTCCATCACAAAATGTTCCAAGATTGTTGCTTACATCATAAACTGACATCTGAAAACAAAGTATGAAATTTGAAGCACATTTATTTTCGTAATTCAGAGGTCATTACATTACGCATTTTTTTTCTGTGCTTCATGCTACGAATGTGGTTTTATTTCATGAAATAGAGGCCATTCAAAGAGCTTTAATATAATGTACAACTTGGCTTTGTAGGTGCAATAGTTTTGGAGATACAAATATGAAAGTTCGGAAGTCATGCTAATTAGTCAAAAGTACGTTGACTCGTATTTCAAAGATTAACAAGCCAAATTACAAAAAAATGAAGTACTGGATAATGGGCACTTTCAGTGAAATCAGATAACAGTTACCGCAGTTTGAAGAAAAAGAACAGGATTTTGAAATACCGGTTTCTCCAATCACTAATTGCCAGTTTGTATTATTGATTGATTGATTCATTCACTCATTTCTTTGCTTAGGCTGGACTGGCCAGTAAGAACGTTAAGCTTCAGTTATGACGGAAAGATGTTAGCATCGGCTTCAGAGGATCTGGCCATTGATATTGCTTCTGTTGAAACAGGTATGTTGATACCAGTACACAGTGGTTTAAGACCCAGACATTTCAAAAAAAATTCCCTAATATTATGCCTTAATTTAGTTTAGTTGTATCTAATGAGTTAATTTATAGCAGATAAAAATATTTTTCCAACATCTTTACTGTTTATAACTACACAAAACTAAGAGGGTTAGACTTATTACAGTAGGCACATTGGTGCAACAATAAAAAAAAACCTGTTTTTCCATACCAAAATTATATCTTCAGACAGAAAACTGTGCATCATCTTCTAGCTTGTTTAGTACCCTTTAAGCTAATATAACACTTGTTATGAAAAGCATTTCAGAAAGTGCTGAAATTTGTGGGGACTACTTGCGGTAAATTATGTAGAAGTACCCAAAAAAGCAAAAGACACTCAGATTATGTTCGCTGATACATTTTTACCATCAGCCATAAACGGCCTGGGTAAAATTGTCTATTTTCTTCATAAATTGGTACTCTGATTATTTGGCTACAAATATAATCAACTGGAAAAGTCGCGCAATGCATCGTTGTGCCGAAGAAAATCAACTTTGTAAGCAGTCCTCAGATGGGATTTAACATAAAACGCTGTCTCTGGTGACAAAGTGAACAGCGCCCTCTATTGTTGAGATTTGTCTAGCGTGATAGCTGTGTTGGGCTCGGTGTCATCGGTTGCACTTCGGAAATTTGTGTAAGAAGGTTCAAATCTCAGGGCTCGTGTGGGATTAACAGTAAACCATTATTGAAGAAATTGAGCTTTTAATGGTTTTCTTTTTCATGGAAAATGTAGATAGAACTAGAGGTTGTAGGAACAACCACACGGTGTTGGGCTACGGACTACTGCAAACTTTTCCAAACACATCAACTCAAAATGCATGTTTTAATCCATGTTTTATTAAGTCAACATGCCGCTAGAGGGCGCTGTCACATTTTATGACGTCACCTGTAATATTTTTGTAAAGTATACCCTAGGCAGAAATTCACATCGTTACAAGCAAGTGCACATCTTTTGCCAATTTCAAATTATAAGGCACTTCTGGTTTCGACCGGAAGGAAGGGTCACATGATTTTGCACTTGCATGTAATACCAAAAATGAAGACCCTGCAATATTGTATCGATTGTAATAAAAAACAAACTCAAATCTGTAGCAGTTGATTTTATATTGATTTTTAAAGATTAAATATGGAAATCTTTATTTGCTTGTAATATGACACTTGATGACATCGTTGTGACGTCATGGCCAGAAACCTCCAGAGCTATATTAACTGTACTATATATAGCCACATCTTGATTATATCTGTCACGGTTGATGTTTTAGCATTATTGTTTAAGGTTTAAAGGTCTTGTCTTTATAACTTCCGGTATGATGACGTAATCAATTTTTTTTCGTGCACAGGTCTTGTCTGCATTTATTTCATCATGTATGTTAATTTTGAAGCGATTACCGCAAATTTCGCCACAGACATCAAGTGAAAATGCGTTTTCGACGATTTTTAACCTGGCGCTAGAGGGCGCTCTAACATTTTATAACGTCACCTGTAATATATTTCTGAAGTACAGCCTAGGCAGACACTGACATCGTTGAAAGCATGTTCGCATCTTCTGCCAATTTCAAATAATTAGACACTTCTGGTTTCGACCGGAAGGAAGGGTCACATGATTTTGCACTTCATACCAAAAATTACGACCCTGCAATATTGTTTCGATTGCCATAAAGAACAAAATCAAATCTGTAGCAGTTGATTTTACATAGATTTTCAAAGATTAAATCTAGAAATCTTTGATTGCTTGTAATACGACACTTGATGACGTCATTATGACGTCATTACCAGAAACCTCCAGAGCTATATTTACTGTGCTGTATACAGCCAAATCTTGATTATATTTATCGCGGTATATTTTCTAGCAATTTTTTAAGGTTTAAAGGTCTTTTTATTGTAACTTCCGGTCTGATGACGTAATCAATTTTTTTTTCACGCACAGGTGCTGTCTGCATTATGGTCATCATGTACATTAATTTTGAAGCGATTACCGCAAACTTCGCCACAGACATCAAGTGAAAATGCGTTTTGGACGTTTTTTAACCTGCCGCTAGAGGGCGCTCCAACATGGCGTCACCCATTATTTTTTTTGAAAGGTCAATCCAGGCAGACACTTAAATCGTTTTAAAGCAAGTTCATATCTTTTTCCACTTTTAAATTATTAGGCACTTCCGGTTTCGACTGGAAGGAAGGGTCACGTGATTTTACGCACACAAGATAAAATGAAGATCATGTATTACCATGTCGATTCCTGCAAATTTCAGGTTCCGGTCTCTCACTGTTGATTTTATATGGAATTTCAAAGATTACATTTATTAAACTTTCAAGTGACGTCACGTGACCCATGATGACGTCATGATGACGTAATTGCAAAAAAACACATCTGCGGTGGATTGGGCATTCATGTATTGACAAATGAAGTTCATCTATGTTTCCATTTTTCCAAACAGTTCTGGAGAAGAATTTGCTGAGAATTTGCCGAGGAGAACAAAAATAGTAAATTCTTACAATAACAATAGGTGTTGGGCTCAAGGCCCAACACCTAATTAGAGATGAAAGATTTTATTTTTTGCACAACGTTTTGGTGTGGGCCCACACTGGGCGCGGTCAGCCAGATCATGTTCCTGGTGTTTGTGATTGTTATAAAATGTCTTAAGCCCTGTCCGCACTGGACTTTTTTTGGTCAAACTAACCGAGACTATGGGTACTTTTCCCATTTTTAGTCCAGTGCGGACAGCCTAGGACGTTTTCCTCTCAGTTACTTTTCCTGAGTCCAGCGGTTACTTTTACTGGCCAACTGCTGCCCAGGAAAACTTCCCACGCGCCCAGGAAAACTGACCGAGTCGCTTTTCCCGAGACGATTAGTCCAGTGCGGACAGTGCGAGTCGGTAAAAGCGGCTCAGGAAAGCGTACATCCGGCCCGAGCGCCCTGTTATGCATACAGAGACCGCACGAACCTGCACGTGCAGTGGCCGAACATTTTGTAGAAACACGCTGCGGTGTATTATCAAGTCCGAGCGGTAAAATCTCGTTAAAATATATATTTCAACGGACAAATACATACACAGAGAAGAGAGATCACATTCTGAGAATTAATTTGCGGAAATTCTCTTTCTCCACCGATGTATGTTATTTTCTACGATCCAAATTCGTCCTGATACGCTACTGTAGTCATGCACGGAACATCATGGTCCGGTACCGTACGTAGGCCGTAGTCACTGGTTCCTGGCCCACATCATAGCTTCGATTCTGTAAGCATGCGATGGGAACCAACGAATACTGATGGCACTGCTGCCGCACGGAACATCGTACAGCGGCATGGCTTCGACGACGTGCATCACAAATGCGTCAGAATTATAGGCCCTTTCGTCAAGATTTAGCGTGTCAAGATGAAATAATATCGTGTAAACGATTATGTTATGCATGCAAATGGCGTGTGTAATATTACTGAGCGTATCGGTGGCTGAAAATGTGATCGGCAATTTGTTTTCTGCGTACGGTGAGTCGTTATACTGACACTGTGACAGTCGGGGTAAAATTTCCCGTGTCGAAAGTCCAAGTGCGGACAGTGGTCACATTTGACCATTTTTCATTTTACCATCGTCTCGGTAAAACCTTCCAAAAAAAAAGTCCAGTGCGGACACGGCTTTAGGCCTGGCAAGGCCAGGAAAACCAACAGAACACCATTTCAGCCAACCATACGTATTTTCCCCAGGGAAGCCAGATACTTTCAAGGACTGATTTGTTGATGATAACATCCAGCCACAACTCCTGACAGAGCTGTCATTGTGATGTAAAGCATTGACAATGACTAAAATGTAAACACTGAGATCATAATATTTTCTGATAATTTTATTTTTATTTTTCTGTATGACTTTTCTGAAACCAAGCCCTTACGTCCCCCATTTTTTTCTTATGACAAAGGACTCCTCCACTTCATCTGTTCCATTAATTTGGCAACGGACAAGAATATTGGACAATCAAATATGCCACCCTCTAAACGAGACGTGGAATAAATATCTAAAGAGAAGGGTCGGCCGGAACAAGAGGCCGGATTATATAAGAACTAATAATAGACTACAACCAACACAGGAGAAGGTTAATAAACTGAACATTTCTAAGCGATTAAGAAAATGTAGGGAGAATTAGATATGAGCTGAATTTAACAGATCACCACCGCAACTACTCTCTCAAAAACCAACCACATTTCTTATGAACATTTTGTAAGTTTTGAAAAAGAGCCGTCTAAAAAACAAACGCTTGACACTTTATCAATCACTGTTGCGGAGGCTATGGATTTCACAATTACATTATGTCAGAAGGGGATGAAGCTGATGTTCCCAAAGCTGAGCTTGATCACCCGAGAATTAATCCTCTTGATGAAGTGGAACCACGCAAGCAGCAGCAGAACGGGTGCGATATTAGATGAATTGAGGACAGCCATTTTTGTAAGAGCAGTGGCCCAATATATGATTTTATCTGTTTTCACTAAATAAGTCTCAAGAATTACAGGTTTTAGCTAGAAGGAACAAAAACCGGCTGCACCACTTAAGAACGCCATTTTTTTATTTCCACGGTAAAATACAACAGAAAATAATAGTAAGATTAATGATAACATTTTGCAAACACATGGCCTTATCACAAGGAATATATTAATAAAAATAATAACAAAGTAATCACCTTGAAAACTTGCATTTGCAATTTGGTTTAATCTTTATTTAACATAGTAAATCCAAAATTAACGACAACAAAAAAATGTTTGGAATCCGTGACGATATGGTGATGAGAAGTGATATGGACGTGTAATAAACATTAATGCAAAAATTGTCACAAGAGGGCGCCATTGATAAATAGTACCCTCTTCTGAAATTTAGCTCCAATTTTTGACAATTTCGGTGAGTTACGTTTTTAGATAATAGCCAACCTAGTTTTCTGTACCCAGAGATGGTATTTTAACATGC